TGATCAATCTGTCTGCAACGGAAACAACGAAGTGGTCTTCTTGTACCCCCATCAGGCATATTGGGTGCCTCCACTGGTATATACATACTAGGCTTATTCCATGTAGGGTTAGAAAATGATCCTGGTTGTCCCATTGGTACTAAAGGAACTTGGTTTGATGACGTCGATGGAGCATATTGATGATACCTCTGCTGCTCCTTACCATAGTTCTAGGGGTTCGATGCATACCCCTCATTAAAATTGGAACTTTGAAAGTTATTGAATGCTCAATTTTGTCAATTAAATTGATTTCCATTCCACCCAAACGTATTTCCCGTTTGCACTTGATTGACGTCCCACTGGGTTGGTGGGATCATGGTCTGATTATTAAATTATTGTTATTGTCTTTTTCAATTCCAACAATTTGCTGTTAGGTGCTTTCTTCTGCAAAATGTACATTGACCTATTATTTGTGAAGGTGAGGGGCATTCTGTTACAGAATGACTGTGGCCCTTACAATTACTGTACCATATATTGGTCCTAGTATTAGTAGGCTTTTGCCTCTTCTCCTTATCTTTGGCCATATTGATGGCCATTTCTTCTATTTTCTTCATCAAATTCAATAATAAGGTTTCATTGGAATCTTTTAGGGCTGACATTATTGGTATCTCTGTCGTAGTTAATGCTTGTTGTTGATATGGAAAATATGGAGCATACGTTGTTATCACATTCGGTGGTATAGCTTGCAATGGGGTGACATTAACTGGCCCTGAATATTGGTATTAGAATTGGCCCCTGTTTCTAACATCCGTGGATAACTATCCACTGATTCGTTCCAAGTCGGATTTTGATATCTACCTTGAACTGGAATCATCGTGGCTCCCGCAGTTAAAAACTGATCATAATCGCATTCCTCCCAAACCTTGGCTCTATTAAGGGATGTAGCCACCGTAACGGTTTGAGCTTCCTTTACAAACATTTTTAGCTCTGGTGGGTGCAAATCATTGATTAATATGGATAAGATAAATACCTTTGGCATTTGGTGATTCGGCCACTTATTGAGTATATTAGCCATTCGGCCATAGTACGATTTCTTCGCCTCTCCTAGGATCATTTTGTTGTTCATTAATCTCTCTTGAAGGCGATCCTCAAAACCAATTGGTTGAAAATGAGATAAATAAGCATTCTTCAATGCTTTCCAATTCAGAAATTGATCCACTGGTTGGCAATTGTACCATTCAAATGCTATATCTTTTAAGGTCGTTGGCAGCCATCGCAATCAAATATCTTCAATTCTACCATTATTAGCTATACATGCTGTAAGAAATTGAGACAAATATTGATTAAGATCCGCACCTAGAAATCTCCGAAAAGTAGGTAGTGGCGCAACACTAGTCGTACAATCGCCTACTGCACCCATTTGTACTGCAATCGGAATGGTTGGTCCTCCTGACGCCATTGAATTTCTTGTTCTGCTAAACTCCATTTTAAAATAATCTCTGCTTTCTCTTATTCTAATTTTCGAGCTCTCAGTGCTCCTCGATTTATTGTTATTTTTTGCAATTAGTTTTATTGGTTGAATTGTAAGTGAAAACGTCTGATTTTGAAATACAATATAGTTATCTTTATTGGCGACCAATTTGTGCTAATCTGAAGAGCCACTATTGCTTGTTTTAGTAGTATTCTTTATTGGAAAAATATCCAATGGAGTACCAAATTCTTCTACGTCTCCTTTTCTTTCAGTTAACGCCCTCAAGATTTCCACTGGAATGTTAACAAAATTTCTCACGAGTGTTCCTGGCAGTTTTTCTAACGGTACATACGATTGCAGAATTAATAGTCTATCCGATTCTTGATATGTTCGGATGCGCCGACAAGCTTGCAACCATGGTTAATCCAATTTTGTCGATGCTTCCTTTTAAGATTACGTTCTTGCTCCTCTCTAAGTAAGTTCCTTCCTTACGCTCTTCTCTATCTTTGTCTCAATTGATTTATTTTCTTCGATGCAATGCTCTCGTTCTTATTAACCATAAACTTGCTTCAAATACTACTGAAATTGTATTCCATTGTCAATTTTTTCACTTGTTTGGTAATTAATTCCTAACACTCAAAGCTATTATCACTCCTCGGCAGCGGTACCAAAATGTGATTACTCGTTTTACTTATTTCAAATTAATCTAATAGGAATAAACCCGTATAGAGGGATTCGAACACGGGGAATGACTAATTGCTTAAGCATTCACATTAGGGTCACACAATCAATTACTTCCTGAATGTATTGTCTCTATTTCCAATATCTGAACACATAAGGAAACTATAATCTCCTCCTTCACCTTATCGGTCTCTTCCTTACAACAATCCAGTCATACCAATAACTGCTATTTCTACCAATATATTCACCCTCATAATCTCCAACTGTAATATTGTGCCCTCACAGCTTTCAGTACACAATTACCCTCATTCCAATCACTGGAATTCTTCACACAAAATTGCCATTCACATTACGGTGTTTCACACAAATACAGACTCATTCTCTCTGCTGAACTACAATCAGATTTCAGCATTCAATCTTTTTTCTTCTCAAATAATACCAATCACATTTCCATTCCATAATTCACTTCACAATATTCAGAAACTCTCAATCCTTTTATTCAAAGAAAATAACAAACAAAAGAAAAGAGGTAGCACCAAGCTTACTCCGGCTCACAACTATCACAATGATGGCCCTCGGCTCATGACTATCACAGTCTGGCACCTTAATTAACTTCTACAACTCCTATATACTTTCCCCTGATTCTCCAGATTCTAACCGTAATTCTGTAATTAACTGCTTTTAAGAACTAAATCACTCATTTGTCCTCCTGAATTTTCTATTATATGGACTATTAATATATTTTATCAATATCTTTAAAAAAACAAATTAATATCTATTCTACAGTCTTTAATCTGTATTAAAATTAAATAATAAGAGCTTTATTATTCTAAGAGATAGAAATGCACTTATAAATCCAACTTCAGTAAATCCATCAAAATATCCTATTCTAATTTGATTTGTGGATTTATTAGAGTTGTTTATTATGAAAATGGAAGAAAATATAATAATGGATGCTATATTTGATAGAAGTAAAAATAAATTTGGAATTATTATAGATCTTCATCAGCTTGTCAACACTCTTAAGGCAAAAATTTCATACATTACCAATGTCAACTATGGAAGTACTATTCCTATGCCTACAGGAAATGTCAACAATAAAGAGTAATGTTTAAATTAAGATATTAGGAAGTTGAAAGAAGTAATTAGATTAATCTTATAAGTGAATTAAGAAAACCTTTAGTAAAATGGAAGTGAAAAAGATTAGTGTGCCAAAAAAATTTAATGATATAAAATTAAAATTTTATTTTATTTTTTATAAAAAATTAAGTTTTATTTAATTTTATATCTTTTTTAATATTCTGATAGATTTATTTAAGTTAGATTTATAGGTACATTTCTATTTGAAGGTATAATTTGACAAAATTATCAATTTTTTATTCTTCTTTTATTAAACTTCTCCGATATACTAATCTTTTCTACTTTCATCTTAATAAAGACTTTTTTTAATTTATTTACAAGATTGATCTACTTCCTTCTCTCAACTATCTAATTTCTTGGTATAAACATTGCACTTCATTGTTGACTTCTCCCATATGCATAGGAATAGTACTTCCATAGTTGATATTGGTAATGTATGAAATTTTTGCCTTAAGAATATTGATAAGCTCATGAAGATCTACAACAATAATAAATTTATTTTTACTTCTACTAAATGTAGCATCTATCATTTTATTTTCTTTTATTTCTATAATATACAACTTTAATAAATCCACAAATCAAAGTAGAGTAGGATAATTTGCAACTTCTAATGTCAAATCAAAATTTCAACAAAGATGGATAATATATTTTCTTGAAAGAAAGAATTAATATTAAAAATAAATCTAATTTAAAAATAGATAGTCTAGAACCTTAAAAATACAACAATAAAAGGCGAGATAATTTACTCACTTTTAAAGCAAAAAAATAAAAATAAAATAATAATCTTGTTAAATTATTAAGGAAATGAATCATAACAAAATTCTAAAGAAACAACACACTCATGTGACACTATAAAAAAAATAAAAAATATACAGATTAAATATATATATATATATATATATAATAATAAAAACTATAATAGCTATTAACAAATATAAAGAGACTAGAGATTCTTGAGCTAAGAAAAGAATACAAAAAAGATATTAATAACAATGAAGAAGGTTTCATTCTTGTCTCCATATATACTATCTAACTAAAGAACTATGTGACAGTATTCTTTATGTCATCTGACATGTATCTCATTTATAAGGCAAGTTTCCAACTTGTATATAACTAACTTGTACCACAAGTGACAAACATGTGCATATTAGCCAAGTTTTCAACCTACCAATTACCTATAAACACTTGTAAAATCAAGTCCACATCTACAAAGCTTTTCTACAAGATATCATCAAATTTCTTTACTTCTACTTCTATTTAATTTATTATATCCTCCTAATTACTAATGCCAATATTGATATCTATGACAATAAGTTGGTAGTAAGAAGTTGGCAATTCAAAATCCACTTATGAAATTCCTAATCTTATAGAACATATGCTAATACAAAAATAATGATGCTTCAACCTTTCAATAGAAGAAAAAATCTCAAAAAGATAAACCTTGTATTCTTATTTTATCAAATAAACCACATTTCATATACAAAACAAAATGTCATGCACTTACATTCAAAATTCCGAATGTGAAATTTATCACAACAATTAGATAAAATGCTACATATGAAAAATAGTTCAAGATGTGAATATGATAAGATTGAGTAACTGTATCCAGTTATTGAATTGCAGACCTTTCCCTTCCTCTCAGAAATTTGTAAAAGAGAAAAGAGACATGTGAAATGACTTGAAGGGGGTCTCTTCTTTCAGGTGGGGCAGCACTGCACAGCACAGCACATTCCCACTCAGAGCCAGTGAGGACTAATTTAGGGTTTTGCGAGGAGGAGGCAAAGTCTTCCTGGGGCTTCGAAGGGAGAGGAATCGGGGCATGGGGCTGACAGACACGCAGCGGTCAATCTGCAATGCACCCAACGCGCTCCTTGTTCAGCAATTGTTGGATTCCGTGACGCAGGCCTGATCTCTGCATACAAACCCATCTCTGTCCTCCAGCAGGAAATTTATTGCCGGAGTCGTGAAGCGGGGCGGTGATTTGGGATCCCCTTTTGTGTTGCAGAGCTGACAGGTCAGGTGTAGTCGATGGAGCTAGCCGAAGTACCGCCGAGCAGCATCCGTGCCCAGAAGCTCGCCCAGGTGAACGATGAAGCGAATTCGGGGTTGGGAGGGTCCGGAACGCCTGGCAAACTTCGAGTTGTGAGGGTGAAGCGGAAGAGAGAGCAGGCACCCATTGAGAATCTCTGTAAGTCGATACTCGGAGCATTTCCTTGTTTGCCTTGTGATGGTTTCATTTCTAGGATTTGGTTGGGTTGAATGCTGTTGTAAATCAGGTCGATCGTGCTATGGTGCACTAATTCTGCAAATGTATGAACTGTATGCTTCTCTTTTTAGACGATCCATGGTTTTCGTACATTTGGAAAGAGAAGCATACTGGCCTCGTTAGGGAATTTGATGAAGTGCTTTCTGGGGAGTCATTTAACATGTTTGTGCTTTTGTAAATAAAAAAATTAAAGCTTGGTTTACACGGGTTTTGAGTCTTGTTTGTAACTTCTGAAACTTTTATGAATGAGGTGATAATTGGGTGCAAGGAAAAAGTAACAATGTTTTGGTCTAGTAGGCATAGCCTGAACAATTGTGTTTTGGATCGGGATCATTCTATAAACGCGATAATATGTGAATGACAAGTAAGGTGTGCTCGACAATCTGTTGCTATCGTCATTTATCGGAAACCCTAATTCTCGTATTATAGCTTGATTTGTGTGGCAAGTACTGGAGTGGGGCGCACCCTTTGAGGCCTTGGATTCGGAGTAGATGAAGTGACGATTTGGGAGCCGTGAATGTTGTATGTGAGCTTGTTTGTATAAACCTTGACCGCACAGTTGGTGAGTGAGCAGGGCTGGAGGTCAGCGATCCACCAAGCAAACGACATGAGCCGGATATCAGCAGGTTGTCGTTGTCCACAGCTGAGGCTACAGCTCTTCCTGCTAACAGTACGTTCACGGTCACCTTCCACCAGGCCTTTCTTCGTGGTTAAAAGGATCTTACCCTTGCAAATTGATTACTAAGAAGGATTTTCCATTACAATGGTTTCGATGTTCTTTGTCAATATTACGACTTTCTACATTGTTATGATTTTCTCCGTGGTCCTTAATGGTTATACCTTCCGTGGAACAGTTGTAGACACAACTCCGCCGTCGAAACTACTCTTTCGAAGGCTGGAGACTGTTAGTCCATCTCATAGTCAGACGGAGGCGTCATTGTATGAATCTCTCTTGCAAAAGGTTAAAGAAAGAAAGCACGCACATGAGAATCGGAAAGAACCACGAGATACTCGGGCTAAAAGCAAGGCTCAGGAAAAACAGAAGCAGGATCAGTTACTTGCTGCTGCCAGGATTCAACACGAGGCTGTTGCGAAAAGAGCACGCTTTGAACAAGTCTGGAAAAGCCGGAGAGATGGTGCTAAAGCTTCTGCTGAAGGTGTAGATCCCGACCCCATGCGGGGGCTTTTTCAACTTTACGATGTTGTCCGGGTTGATGAAGAATCTGCCGAAACCCTTGAAAAGCGAGAGAAAGCTAGAAGGTATGTATTCCATAAACTTCCTGTTCCACCCATCGAATAGTATTCTTCGAGTTCTAAACACTTGTTTGGATACTTTGTAAGTAGCAAAAGAAATTCAGGTGCAAAAGCTGGTTGTTGGTGAACAGGGAAGCTGAACTTGCTCAAGCAGCTCTAGTGGCCAATTATTTGCCTCTATTACGGGAGTGCATGCCAGAAGCGGCTGCGGATATTGAAAAGGACCTATCGTCCAGTAATGTTCCAGTCGAGACAGGTGCAGCTTAACTCTATTATCAGGCATCAAAGAGATTATTGATTTGTCAACGTGTTGAAACTAGGATTGAGTTTTGTTAAATGATGCTGTGCATGCGATCAAATATAAATTCGGAAGTGATCCGAAAGTTACAAGAGAAGAAGCCTGCGGTGTAGGTGCCTATTGGGAACTCTACTTCTATTTTTTATCATTCAGTTTAATCCCAAGAACTTATTGTCACCCACGTATTTTAAATTTCTTGTTTGCAGATGATTATGTATATGACGTATATGCGATGGACGAGGGATTCAGTGACCGTGAGGGTGAAGACGAAGAATTTTATCCCACGTAAGTACGAGGCTAGCTCGGTTTGTAGTTATGCTTGTAATCTAGCCCCTAGTTGGAAATAGTTGAGCATCTATAAAGGTTTGAGTCCTGCCCTGTCAATGGTTTGCTTGGTAAAAATGGCTATGCATGCAGAGAACCAAGGACTGAGTAAGTACTTTTATATTGAACAGGGTACAAATTGTAGAAACCGAGGGCTTCGAGTGGGGGCAGCCTGGTGAATCGGATTATGATAGTGAGGATTCTAACGGTAAGTTCTCTTCTCTCCATCTTAGTTAGAAAATCAGGTGGATGCTCTTATTTCAAAAACTTGCTAATTTTCTGTTTTTCAATAACATGCCACTAGAACCGGCAGCAATAACTTGTTCAGGGATCTTATCTATGTGTTCTGCATGTTGCAATATAGACGAGAACAATCCTTTGAACGACTACCCTGACGAAGACGATTTTGGCGATTTTGGAGATCAGAAGAGTAACAATGACAGTGATGAGACGGATTTTGACCTCGTTGGTTCAGATAGTGGTTCAGATTATGACACAGCTCCATATGATAACGAGCAAGAGCTACGTTGGGGACGTCGTCTTTGAGAGCTTAAAAAATGCTCTCCCAGTGGGCAGACCACCCTGTAGAATGTGGAATATTTAGTTTATGTCAGCTTAAATGCTCTCAAATTTGTAGTCTATGCAGTACTGGTTCTTGCAATCAGTGTTGATATTGCAGCTTTTAAACCAATGAAGTGGATTCTACCCTTGTCCTTTGGGCGTTACCCAGTGCCCAGTGGAATTATTACTCATGTGCAAGTATATCGAGCCATTTTAATTAAGGTACTGATGGCTTGAATATACAACATAGTTTTAGACAGACAATAGTTTCTGTCAATGTTTGTAACACAATTTTCTCATTTTCTGCTTTTTCCTATAAGCACACCAGAACTGTCTGAAAAACCTGAAAAAACCGCTCTTCATGAGTGCAGTTATCACGACATACCGAAAGAATGTAAGGATCATCAGTTGGAACAGATACACTGGTGTTTCAATCTGCAATCTTCTGTTAAAACTCACTAGTAAAGTGAAATGCAGCTTCACTAAATTATGAAAGGTAAGATTTAGGAATAAATTATAGCACATAATTATCCATTACTTGTGTTCTTTGTCAATTGCTACATGCTTTTTTTAGTAATCTGATTTCCTAAAAATAATTATTAAAGTGTCAGTACAAATGGAAGTTAACAAAGGTTTTTGGCACATTCTTTCTAATTGTTTATTTGGGTCTTTATGAATTACTATTATTATTTTGCTTCTAAATATATTTTAATAACATGTTATAAAAAAGAATAGCAAAATGAAAATGTTATGAATGAAGTATAATATAATAGTATTAAATAGTGATATATGCTTGTCATTATATTAAATACATAATAATCAATCTAGGGTATTAATAATACATTTATTTCTTCACAAAAATATATTAATTTTAATATAAAACTTTTAATGAAATTATATGTAAGATGCAAAAGAATTTTTTATGACATTTTATAGATTTTTTTTAGTATATATATATATATATATATATATATGTATGTATATGTGTATGTATGTATACAAATAGATATTATATATATATATTGTAGCATTTTGGTAGATTCTATAAAACAAGATGTCATTGTAAATTATCTAATATTTTAGATTATCAAATCTATGATAAAATTACACTTTTTAAGCTAATGAAAGATCTATTTGATTTGATTAGAAATATATTTAGTGGCATTGGATGTAATTAAATTACAATGATCATATTATATCACTTTAAAAAGATTATCTTGCAAGTAGTATCTTTAAAAAGTAAAAGACATTAATCTTTGAATTCTATGTATATATCATTAGATCTTTAAAGATTAAAATTCAAATAAACTTTAAACAATCATTGAAAATAATAATAATATTAATAGAACTAAATATGATTTTATCATAAATAAATATATATATATATATATATATATATATTTTATAAAGACTAGGTACATTGGTGTGTAAAATATAAAAAATTAGAAAAATAATATATATTATATTTTAATTGAATAATATTATAGAATCTAATTTCAAGTTTTTTTTTACACAATCAGAATTTTTATCATTCAATTTATTATTATTATTTTTATTTTTATTTTAGATCTTTATATGACATGCATGTTAGGTTTTTTTAAATAATATTTTAGCACAATAATAGGATTAATTTAAAATTAAAGTAGTAAGATGTGCTTGTTAGTGTTGTTATCATAAATTGCAACTTATATATTACTTATTGTTAATTGTAACTTATCTATTATGCTTCTATTTACCTTCACATTTGCCTATCAATCAAACAACCATATAAGCTCCGAGCACACCACCTCCATTATAATCATATTTATTAATTGATATGCTTTCTTTGAATACAAAAAAATGAATAACATTGATAGTAGCTACATCATAAGGAAAGCATTAATTTTAGAGCTTGAGTCATCACAACAACCATAGAATTTGTCAAAACTTGCACCTAAGAGTTGTGTGGTGTCATATAATATGAATTCTTGCTTAAAAATGCACCAAGCACCTAACTATGGAAGATAAATAGAAAATGCAACAATAAGATCCTACTAAGTTTAATAGAATCTTAATTAAATTCTAAATAATTCCTAACAATTGTAATCAAACTTTTACCAATCCAAAAGAAATTTAAATAAAATTACAAAAGAAACATAAAGAAATCATAAATTAATCTCAAAGAAAAATAATAAAAAAAATCTTAAAGAAATACAAAAATAAAATTTCTAAAGAAATATTAAAAATAGAAATATTAAAAAAATAAAGTACTCTAAATAAATTTATATAAATCCTAGCAAAATCCTCACCAAATTCTAATTAAATCCTAAGTAAATCTTAAATAAATTCTAGTCCAAATCCTAATAAAACTCTAACCAAAGCCTAATCAAATTATAAATCCTAAATCAAATCCTAAAAAAATCTTAACCAAATCCTAAATAATTCTTAAACAATCCAAAGAAAATTCTAAATAATTTGTAACTACTTTCTAAAGCTATTTTAAAATCTCAATAAATATTAGTTGAACCATCAATCTTGACTTAAATTTCACTCATATTTCAATCTATAAGAAATTAACAAGCATAAAAAATTTGAAGAGAATCAAACTCACCAATTAAAAAAAAAAAAATCCAAAACCTCTTGGATATTAACTATCTTCTTTCTCTAACTTGAATGTTGATCTTCCAACAACAATTTTTCCTTGCTAAACTGTTAAATTTCTTCAAAAATTGGTCGGTATGTATATTTCTAAGTCTAAATTTCTCTCACTAATTTGTGCTTCAATTAAATTAGAAAATATTGAGAGATTGCAAAAACCTTCACTGACCTTAAATTTCAATTATCTAAGACCATAATCTACAAAACTCTTATAGCTGTCAATCTAACTGTTTGATTAAGATCAAATTTTTTAAACACATTTAAGACAAATAAAATTATAAATTAACAAAATTTTACCCATAAATATGCTATGACACTTACAAAATCTTCAAATTTGTGAACATCTTTTCATTTTTTAAAATCCACCCCTATTGAGTACATCTTTCACTTTGAAAAGCTCTCAAAACCTCAATATACCTTCAAATCACATGAAATTAATTTTTAAAAATCCTTTCACAAGTCTACTCTTAGATCTTACTCTTCAATCAATCAAAGAATTAGGGAATCGCCATAGGTGTGTAGTTTTGTGCCTTAGGATTTGATTTCAATCTTGGTTCACAATTTGCTCTTTTTGGGTATCAATTCTTTGTATTTTGAGGTGATTTTTATTAAAACCTATTTTCAATCTTTTTCTCAAAATACTTATATTAACTATTTTATTTATTTATTTTGATTTGGCTTACTTATGTTCCTACAAAGTAAATAGAAGTTTTTCTTTAAGAAGGCAGCATTGCTATTTATTAATTTTTACTACCTTGTCTATTATCTATATTTCTAAGATAATTTGTTAAAGTATTTTTATATAAGCTCCTCTATAATATAATCTTTTCTTTCCTCTTTCACTATATAGTCATGTTACTATATGACATCAATTGATTAATAACAATAACATGCTTATTGTTAGTTATACTAGTAATAATACCACTTATGCTACAAATTTACATGTTGTGATGGATTTTGATGCTCAACTAATTATGATTGGCAAGTGACTTGTATAAAAATTAGGACAAAATGCTACAAACGTAGAGCCTTATCTTTTTTATTATTATTACTTCATTAGCAATCAAAAAGTGGACTATTGATTATACTAAAGATTCTTTGCAATTGATTTTTTGCATTGGGCATGGCAATATTATTCACACTTATCTCTAAAGCATACATTGATTACTGTCATCAACTATGATATTTTAGTTTATTAATATATATTTTATTTTCTTTATTTTAGTTTAGATAACTAGATTGAAGGAGTATAGATTAGACCAAAGTAGTTTGTTGGTGATAGAAAAAAAAGATTTTATTCTCATCTCATTTGTAGCAACTACTATGATTATGTCACCACAAATCATACTTGATTGTAGTACATTAGTATCAAAATTGCCTTATGGACCAATTTTATTAGATGAGACATTGGTATTTATATCTAATTCTATAGAACTACATAGTTTACCATCTATGGTAGACTAGTTGTCCGCACTTCATACTAGAATATAGATTTAAGCAATGTCATATTACATGTTGTCTTGTTTGGAAATGCACCGAGCACCTAATTGTGGAAGGTGAAGTTGTATTTCATAAGTATCCAAGAAATACTAATAGGTTTCATCCATATGAGAAGAATATAATCCAAATTTCAATTCAAAAGTGCTAAAAAATACTCTTCTTAATAGCCTCAATCATACACAAACCCTAATTATCTTTTTACTTTCATATTTAAGCACTTTAGATTTTTCTTGTAAGCCCTAAGTCTAATCAATGAGATTTAATAAGCTGTAACTTCTAATCTGACCATCTACTTGATGTGAAATTTTGCATGCAATTGTCAATATAAATCTCTTATACGCTTAAGAAATTTCAACCTAATTCAACTTATAGATTGTGAAAAAATCTCCAAAAACTGCATTGATGTTACTTGGTTGTCAACTTGAAAGGTGATGCAAAAGTTTCAGCAATGATTTTTCCTTCTCCAACTATTGACTTCAACTCAAAATTGATATATAGCTTAATCTTCAAGTCTTCCAACACCATGCCAAATTTTACATTGATTCAATTAGTAGAACTTCAGATATCATAGAAACCCTATCTAACTCCAAACTGATAACTTCTGATATGTTCTTGTACTAAAACCCAGATATCTCTTAATTGCATCATTGGATTATCACAAAATTTTGTGAACACTTAGCACACACAACAATCCAAACAGTATCAAAATTTGAACCATAGATATTAATCAATTGCATGAACTAGCCAAAAGTGCTAGCCCTAATTGTATTACATAAAATCCAAATCACCAATACAAACTTTGACTTTGAACAATAATTGTCAAGTCCTCACAAATTCTACAAAAACAAGCCTTATGCCTTTGAAAAGAGCTTGAAGCTAGCTCTCAAATCCTAATCTCCAATCTTCAAATGAAATCCTATTTTGCCCTAAGCAGTCGTTTTAAAGGCCAAAGGTCTGATTTCAACCATGTCTTACAAACAATCAATCCCTAGGTATCAATCTAACCTATCCTAAGGGTTTTTTAGCCCAACCCTACCTTCAATTTAACCCTAGTATCAACCATACTAATTATTTATCTCTTCTAACATGATTTTATTAATTTACGGTCTTTCTAAGGTAGTAAAAGAGTCTCTACAACCTAAAAGGTAAAAGTA